GGGTGGCATTGCAGTCGCAGTACTCTTGGTAAAAGCTTACTGGTTTTGGACAGTGTGTACGGTGCTGAGACGAGATCGGCGTTACTTGTGTATTCTAGCTATAACCAGCGTTTCGCGTTGGGTTTTCTGACTACCATTACCAGCGTAGCCCGACATTCGTCGACTGGCTACAAGTCAGCTCTGTGTGTGTGTGTGTGTGTGTGTGTGTGTGTGTGTGTGTGTGTGTGTGTGTTTGAATTCTTTATGTGGTTACGGGGTCATTGACTCTGTCGCAGTTTTCTCAAATAGACCTACTTGCTTCAAGCTTAGGTGCGGGTGCGTGGCATTCCTTTTCCAAAAGCGTTCACTATCCGGCTGTGATTAACAAACCAACGCTACAGTGCTCCTTTTGTTGACTGTCACATAGATGCATTGATTTGGCCGGCAATCAACATATCACACACTGGTCGGCTTGCCAACTTGGCACCTACTCGCCACGGTGCTTTTAAACGCCTCCTTAAATCTCCGTTAGTGCCGCTCATTAATTCGGGAGGAATTCCTAAACCACCTTCAACTCACGTTTCAGATCTGTGGTCACTTGTTTGATCTGTCAATGTTGTTAGACGACTACGCGAATGTCAGCGACACATGGCTTGAGTATAGTCACCATTTTCTGCTTGTTTATCCTCTCTGATGGTCACTGTCCAACCCATCCTCGGCCTCTTCAATGCTAGCGTGTGTTTCAGAGAGAGGTCCACGGGCGGTCATGAACCGTTCTGGCAATGTTAGCTGCCACGGTCAGATCATTTCTTACCGTTTTGACTATTTAATTGCTATGTTTTTACTAATAAGGTAGTATAGTCATTGGGGACATCCGCATTTCTCAGATTATGATAGTTTTCCACTCGGATCTCCGATAATGGGGCGATCTAAAGAGCTTGCGCTTTAAAATGACTTGATGCACTGGTAGCCCTGGTTGATCGTTCCTGGGTTCAACTGTTCGCCGAGCTTCGCAATTGGTATGCATACGTTTCATCACCACACGAGGTGACTTCCTTAGTGCGCTGCCTTGTCAAACGTAATCCGCTGACTTGGTCGTCGATTTGTGTTTGATTTGCAAGTGACTTTTGATTTGACCTCCTCGATCTGTACCACGTGACCATCCGCCTGCCCAACTTCTCTGATGGACACTGGCGATCCGTGGGTTCGTTTTGCCCCGGCTGTTGCGGCTATGTTGTTGACGGCTCGCTTAGCTACTCACAGGGATTTTTAAGTTGTTTTAGTTCTCTCGGTCTTAGCGTTTCTTTAACTGGGTCAATCTCGATCTATTTTGTGACTTTTCGGGTGATTGCTTTAGTAGTATACAATATGGTCTGTGTGTGTTCCTTACCTGTAAACCGATGTTTGCAACTCTCCATCAATCCTTCTGGTGACTAACACAGTTAAAAGTGGGAGCTGGTCCGATTCCGATTCCATCGTAAGGTGTATGTCCTCAATGGCATTATTGAACAACTTGTATGCAATTTCTCCTTGACCACGTTTCAGTATCATGAATTTATCATCGACGTATCGGATCCACGTTTGACCCAGCAGCGCACTGAGAAAGTCATCTCTTGTGGTGCTAAAACGTTTCCATTCCGATTTCGACACTCGGCGAACAGTTGAACCCAGATTTTGCTTTATTTGGCCTGAGAATAGACACGTTGATCACTGATGATTGGGTCTTTGGTCATTTAGTTCGGCGCATCTCTCTCACTGACATGCTCTGGGCTGGTTGCGCATTCGAGGGGATGGGGTTCCTTATTGATGCATGTGCCGTTCCATATTGGACCAATTCAAACTTTCCACCCACGTTTGATAGTCAACTGTTTTAGCATGCTGGCATTTTGATATCTGATTTCATTCTCAGGCCTTAAATCACCCGTACGGTTTGCCAGTGCATGCAACTATCCTGGGACTTGGGTCTTGCACGCGGCATAAACGAGGTGTACTCTAAATACCTTTTACATTTTGCGCCTTCACTCCCTTCGGTGCCAAACTGAGCAGATTGTTTAACATAACTGTTAGCTTGTCGTGATTTTGCTGATTATCTTACTGTTTTCTCAGCCATCCTTCTTGATTTTGTGTTATAATAGGTGATATTCGATCTTCTGTTCCGTACAGAAGTCTCATAGCTACTGAAAATAAAGGCAGACTGTTTATCCGCGGTTATTACATATCACCGACTGCATGCATCCCGCTTCTGTTTTGATTTCAAAGCTCCTATTCTGATCATGCTTCTGTCAAATCATCACCACCATTACTTTCTGTAGCAACACTACACCTGCCTTGTGTGCCGGTGCTTCTCTGCCCTACATATCCAATTGTTGTTGTCATCCAACCTACTAAATATGTATAAGTACTGTTTTAAAAGGGTCTACTGTAGGACTTGCATTCAACAAGCAAACACTTCCTTTCATCCTTCACTGCATCATGTCATAGTCCGCTTTATCCCACGAAGAACATCAACTCTATACAGACTTTAATTGCCCAATTGAGCAAGATGACGATAGCAAACACATTATCGTCGGCCGTTTGTTTCCATATTTTCTAACGTTTCGAACCGATCACAGGAGGTTGAATCGACCCCAATGCCAAGACTTGAAGGACTGACAGCAGCCATTTTAGTGGACAGCGATCTTATTTTCAGCCTACAGGTTACTCTACGCTCCGCCTCAGACTTTTTTCCACTCCAGCTCCGACAAATGGGGTTCTTTTCTCTACGCCATTAGCAGAAATAAGTCACACATGCTCGAGCCAATGAAATATGTTTGATGCTGTTTATCTTTGATAAACTAACCTAATCATCGCCGCCTCGCATCCACTCGTGGCAGTTTCGCCACTTCTACCAGGAGTTTATATTTGCTATCATTATCAATTTTATTATTTCATATTTTGATATTATTAATCGATGTGGTTCGGGCCAATCTAATCTACCGCACTTCGAAACAGGAATTATGGTTATCTTTCTGAAATGGATCGAGCCTCGCGCAGCGTTTCTGTGGCTGAACAGATTTCACCCAATTCGATCACCATCCCCTACTCAACACTGGACATATATCCGAATGCGTTGGAAGTGATCTTTCCACCTTGTTATCATATCTCACCGCCAAAGAGGTAGACGGCGCTTCCCGTAGCCCTGAGTGCCCGACCTATGGGATCAAGCGATGTCACAGCTTGTTGAGTGCGGATTCAACGCTGACCTTGCCGTTCTAAGTGGACAGGTTGAAACTAGCCCATCAGGCATCATTAGGGATCTGTTTGTGATAAACCGCGCCGTCGTATGCGTTAGCTAAATTTAGAGTCAAGTGTTGTCCTGGTTTTTCGTTCGCTGTAAAAATTCCTTCCATTTACAGCAAGGCAAGAGGAAAGATCTGGATTTTATGCCTTAATGTATTTGTCTCAAAAGCCCGACCGCAGGACAACGGGAACGGCAACAAAACTGAGTATGTGCTATTTCCACAGAAACGAACACCGCTTCCGTTCTAACAAACAATCCATTGATGCAAAAGACCGAGCTGTTGACCTTCGGCCATTGCCTAATGTGTCAGTAACTGTTCATTGGAAGTCGAAAAGCACCACCGGTCTGAATCAGTGGGTCGGCCAGGTACGCACCTTGTCACTCCATGTATGGATCTTGGCAGTGGGTCTCGCGTGTCAGTAGCGATTCAATTAATCAGAGCGCTTGTCACTTCAATCGCGAGATAGGCCTTGCCTCTTCGTTGAACCAGCGACGTCGGTCATTTTTGGATTTCCGAACTCTGTGGTCAATCGTATTCACATCCATACAGCCGTCACCAGTTGCTCCATGGTAACACGTAAATTAGTTGACATTCCGACGGTTTTATGCTTCCGTGAGTACTTCCAGCCGCTTGACTCGGCGGAAGCATGAGAGTATGACGGCAGATTCAGTTTGTTCTCCCAGAGTTGCGAGAAAAATACATTGATCAGGTATGTTCTACCTGTTTCACCTGATTTTCAAAAGATTGTTCTGGTTGCTTCACCTATTTGCATGCGGTGATCAAACGTACCATTCTCATGGGTCCTAGAGTCTTGCTGTTGTTTAGCATGATCTGGCACTGCGCAGCATGAAATGCCTGATATTGAAGTTACTAGCGCCGAACCTACTCTGTTCCTGCTACAGTTATGAAATGTGCATGCGTGCAGCATAGCAATGTACGCCATAGGTGCTGCGCCAATCATCCGTTAGTTCTCGAAACTTTTGTGTCAAATGCGAAACGCTTCCCACAAACTATACCAGCCGGTCGTTTTTATTCCCTTATGAAACACAAGTATGGCTTTTCAACACTTGACTAAGACGGGTGTGTCCAGCTGCCACTCACGTTTTTTCATGCACCAACGAGGAATCTTCAGTCTAAGTGAGAACGATGGAAGAGGCATTATGGTAGGTAAGTCCCCCCATCAATGAGCCCTCAATGTATCTTTTCTGGTGCAAGAACGTGGTTTCTGTTACCTATTTCAAATAGCTTGCAACTCCCATTTTCCCATATAACTAGTTTTGACCTAAGGTATGGAGTTGCTGGTGTCGTTAGTTGTTTTTCCTTCATCTCGGTCATGTGTTCACCTCACCGATACACTTTCTTTCTACGATTTTTTTTTGTTACTAAAAGTGCCCATGGTGCAAGAATTTAGAGTCCTTGTGTTTCTGGTCGAAGAAGTATGAACGGGTTAAATGACTGATTAGAATTCGCGGGCTCATTAGATGGTCAGATAACATGCATTATTTGATAGTCATTATTTCGCCTAAAAGTGTTGAAGTCTTCTTGCCATCTGGTAATTGCATTTCCATGCTTATTAAGTGTTGCTTACTTACCGCTTTTTGTCAGTGACTTGTGGAATCGAGCATTTTACTTGTTTCCATCACTAATCAAATACCTCTACCAACGGAGGTCGCATTCCTACATTCCTTTTTCTAATGGCTACTCCCGCTGTCGGCTTTTCCTTCCGTTTCCCCTCCTCAGCATGTCTGCGTTATAAACGAAAAGGGTAAGAAGAAATTCGCTGCCCCATTAGACCATTCTCCCGGTTGACCGCGTGTATCCCGCGACACGTTTTATCCCGTCTCATTTCTTGCTTCTACGCCGCTGGATCTCAAGCCCCCTACTATTTATGCTGCTTTTGAATCTGCATGTCGCCATTTCTTGCCCAAATTTTGCCTCACTCAGTCACCTTTATCATTTATTCGAATCGTTCTTGTTGTCCATTATTTCTGCCAGAGATTGATGTTTTGTATCAGATTGATTACGTTTTTTCCGATACACATCAATCGCGCTTTAACTTCCCGCCTGTCTGTTCTTACATCGATGTATATTACGGTTTACTAAAGCGAGAAATTTGGTTTGGCTTTCGAAGGAAATTTTTCGCAGCTACACTCAACCAGACAGCAACCAACACACATCCAGCGAGGCACTAACCGGCCGTTTCGTTCTTTCGGGGCTCTTCAGTAGTGCACACTCCATCTGCTTGATAAATATTCAGAACCAGCGGCCCCTCACTTTCGAGTCAGTGTTTGAGACCGACTCGACAGTGAATGGCCACGGGTTCTATCCCCTAAACGATCAGATGAAATGCGCATTACTGAAGAGTCCCTAAATAGTGAAACGACTGTTCAGTGCTTCGCCGGATGTGCAACGACTGTAGCCTGACTGGGTGTAACTATGGTAATTCTATTTAAAAATATTTATAGGATCTTCCCGTGTACAAAGAATCCTTGTCGGCACATTATCGACTATACTATTTAGAGGCTTCGACCATTTAACACACTAGTCTACTTTTTCAGCTCACAGCGGAATTGGTGGGATACTATTGTAACAGCGGTGATTCGCTTCATCAGCCCGCATTCGCATTACAAAGCCCTCATTATTATTATTGCCCGATTACAACGCTTAGCTCGCAGTCTCTGTTTTGCAGCTTTGAGCATGCTTTTGCGCGCCTGATCCGTCCCTTGGTGATTATGATTCCTGTGTATCCACTCTTGTTGATCATGTCACCATCTCTTACATCGGTGGAGAATGTTCATCAACTTGCCTTTTCCATAGTTTTGCGCAATTTCTATTCAACCTAAACAATGGTACCGTAATGATTTGTCCTCATACAGAGTCCGCGTCACACCCTTTGGAGTTCTGCTTTTCGGATATCTGGTTTCAGGAGACGAACTTGCTTTGCTATTCGACAACCGCGAAGCGACCCAGTCAACACTAGATAAACCGTCCAAACTAGTCTATGACGCGCCTAACGTTTTAATCGAACGTGCGATTAACGGTAACTGTGTCAGTCTGGGGATTTCCCTGAATTACCCGAGTTCGTAGTGTAAAGTTCTGACTAAAGTTGCTGTTTCCTTGTACACAGCTGGTCAGTGCGGAATGTTGAACTACATGTTGGGTTCGGTTGTCTTTATCGGGATGGACCCACTCGCGAAAAATTCAAAATGACCGGCGCCAAGGTTCTTCCAAATTCGGGGTCACCATTTTAGCAGGATCTCAGATTTCGGTTCCAGGAAGTAGATCCATGCATGGAAGCATATATGTTGTACAGTAAAAGGTTACCTGTTGTTTTTACTATAAAAGCGACACCGATGGAGTCACCAGGTAGGGGAAAGGAAAGGTGTAGCAAACGACGCGGTTGATCGATGCAAACCAACCCAAGCATTGAGCAAAATGGCGTTGCTCGGCTCGAACTTAACATGCGGTTCAACATTCCGCACCGATCACTTGAGTGTACAATGAAATAGCAATTTTAGTTAACATTTAACATAAGGAGGTCAAGCAAACCGGGGAATTTTTCAGGCGGCTACACGAATCGCTGACTTGTACGGGTGAATAAATGTTTAGTTAATCCGTTTCCCAAATCAGTGTCAGAGATACGGCTCGGTCGCGTCTCTCATGAGGCGTTTGGTTTCACGATGTTGCATTTGTAAACCGTTGTTACCAAATGACTGCGGATATCAATTGGGGACGGAAGTGTTGAATCACGAGCAGTCTTGTTCTGCGTCTTACTTGAAAGTAAACATTCCCATTTCGGTAACAAAATCATGACCATAACTGAATTCTGGGTTGAGAATTCTTTTCGCCTAAACTCTCATCAAAGCCAAACGTCTACGTGGTGGGGGTTGTGTTGCAAATATCAAAGGCAGAAGTAGTACATCGAACCTTTACGAGCCAAAGTAACAAGCAAACGGCTAAGTACCAATGTCTTATGCCAAAGTAGTAATATCGGACCTATGTGCTGCTTTTACACCTACAGTACCCGCTTCAAATATAGTATGTATATGGCCCCGACAATGGGCAGGAGCTGCTTGCGAGAAGTGCTCAGGTAATGTATATATGATTTGAGTTCTTATAGGCTGTCTGACACTAGAACTGTTTGATAGTCTCGTGCCTCCTAGTGCGACTTACGTATCGTGCACCACAGGAGCGCGAATATTGTTGATAAACGAGTCAGTGATAGCAATCGATCTATCAAGCGTCTTCCAAACAATGGCCTTTTATAGTAAATATTCTCGACTGGGTCGCGAAATAATTTTCCTATAAGCATCTTTCAGGTTCGAGATAGGATAATGTACTGACAAAGGTAGGGGTTACCTAAGTAGCGGAATGTGAGGGCAACCGGTCACTACAACTGCTGGTAAATAAGAACCACCAATAGTAAGTGCTAACATAGTTTATTTTGGATAACCTGTGTACGGGGTGTCTAAGCTACAGCTATGATGACAACAATACACCAGGCTAGCTATGGAATCCTATTCGAATCGGCAGCAACGCAAGGAAAGGCGATTGCGATTCTAAGTCGGGGACAGTTGGTATGTGTGCCAGCTACTCAAACAATCGTATGCCGACGTACACTTTAGATTACCTGTTTACATTTTAGTACTAAATACTATGGAGAGATTATACAATCACACCTCAAGCGTGCGGGGAATCATCGGACTGCTAAACGTCCTCCTAGGACGGAAATCTTGGGTGACTCTTTTATCTATATGACTACGACGTCGCCGACCAGTCTTCTGCGGGGCCAAGTGAACCTGATGCAGGTGCTCGGGCAGCACCAATGCGATCAAACTTTAGTGGGCTCCTACCGTCCCCTCCATATCTGTGTCAAAACGGAGAAATGGTAGTTGGAACAGCGTTCAACAACATACAGGCTACAACGCGTTTGGTCCACCTCAAAAGGTCCGAAGGTTCGGAATATGAAAAGGAAAGAGAACATGGGACGTCGATACGCAGTGACAACAAAGTGTAAAAACGCGATATTGTCTCTTAACCTATAGGCCAAACATTGAGATGCAGAATAGGAAGCGTAACGCTTTTTTGGAGTCACAAAAGGGTATGAGCCTTTATACGGTTTTCAAATGGTGCTGGAGCAAAATACCTGAAAACGCGGTTAAGGACCAAAGCATCTGGTCCCGACACCCAAACCCAGTATTGTTAGGCTGGGTGGAGTCGCAGGGCTCGTCCTCCGTGACGGTTTCCCGCTTGCCGTTGAGTTAGATGACGGGAAACTAACTCATGTTGGTGGACCTTCGTAAGATCCCTCAAGTGGTTTGCGTAGACCTTCGATGCATCTAGAGACCAATGGGCAAAGGTAGCGCTCCAATGGAACTTTATTTATGGCGCGGCTCTCTGACAGTGGTTTGTTGCGGCACATGCTCGTGCCTAGTTGCCGCGCATTTTGCACATCGTGGCGAAGAGCGTTGGGGCCCTCGGGAAAGCTGCCCAGTAGTCACAGTTGTCTGGCTGCTAGCGTAGTTGGGCGTGGAGTCTCAATTTTTCTGAACTCTTTCCTGCATAGGTCGGGTGTCCTTGGAACTCGTCTAGTGTCCGAAGAACTCTATGTACGGCTGTATGAAAACGCATTTGATGCTGACGTGCGCTCTCATCTGCTCGTACCAGAGTCTTAGGTGCACTTGGAGTTCCACTACCGTTGAACTTACCACCAAAATGTTTATGTGCGGTTGGATGAAGTCGAGTCAGCGTACGACACAGCGTTACGCGAACTGAGTGGCATTCTTAAGAACTCAAAGAGTCCAAACGGCGAAATGTCAGCGTTCTCTGGGATATCCTCCTCTGCGATCGGAATCTGATAGTCGGCACCGGATGGGTCTTCGCGAAGACACACGAACCATGAAGACCAGCCGTGATATATTTTATGTGGGATATGCGTCAGGAACTGTCTGGTTAAGCGCGCGATAATCCCCACATGTTCGCTAGTCTTCCGACTTTTTCGGTACCATCTAAAAGGACGAAGACCAGCGACTATTGGACTGGAGGACAGTTCCATGCTCCGGCGTGTGCTCGAAATTTGTGCGAGTACTTTTGGACATATTAAGGGTCATACTGCTGGATTTTGCGAAGATACGTGGACCCTTGGTGAACAAATGATGCAGAGTGGCGTCGTTTGACGTTGAAAAAGCTGGAGCCGGTCCGAAGCGCAGAGTCTAATCGGAACGGGTGCCAGGAGAATTGCTTGGATTTTTTGTAGCTGTGCACAAAAACGGAACATGCAGTTGTTCAGAAAGCAATTGTGTTATTTTACAACAAGGAACCATGTTTTGTCTCGGAACAGTTCGTGCCTACAATCCCAGCATTGCGGTTTTGCTTTTTGGTGCATTAATTCCCGTCGCCTGTTTCATACAAACCCACGCCACTCTTGCCTCCGGATGCTGTATCGAACTGTAAGATAACTAGTACTGGTATGTTTCGTCCGGTCTTGTGTTCCCTATGTCAGTACACCTTGTGTTGTGACATTCGTTTCTGTGCTCTCAAGGCGGAATCAAACAGGCGTTCAGTCTTACTCTAGGTGTCATAACAGGAAGACTTCTGTGAAACTTTCTAGTAGCAACTCACCTACTGGTGACCTAGCTTTAGCGTATACCGGGCTAAGCGATACAGTGTCACAGGATATGCCAGCGCATGAAAGTTTCGTAGTGTAGTCGATAAAGCGTTGGCGTTTAGTGTCGACTAGCAACTCAAAATTTTGTGGAAATTAAATCCCGATTTTAGGCTTCTGGACGTCGGTGATGTGGAATACCCATTTGAATGATCCCCTTAAACTAAATAAATAAATGTTTTATTCTCGTATGTATCTGGGCACACCAAGTAATGCTTGATCAAAATTCAACAGGCAATTATGTCTCATCGGACACGTTGCATAACACACCATGTGT